CGAACCCGTGTCCCCTGCATCGGCAGGCGGACTCTCAACCACTGCGACACCAGCGAAGCCCCTTATCTCTTATCTTTTTGACGATAGCTATCCTAACAGGTATGAAGTGGTATCTCATTGTGTCTGATTTGCATTTCCCTGATGATTACTGATGTTGACCACCTTTTCATATACCTGTTGGTCATTTGTATGTCTTCTTTAGAAAAATGTCTTTTGCCTTGAATCCTGATTCTAAAACTGTAACAGAAACTCTTGGTAGTTTTTTTTCTTTAATTAATTTATTTTATTTATTTACTTTTGGCTGTGTTGGGTCTTCGTTGCTGCGCACGGGCTTTCTCTAGTTGCGGTGAGCGGGGGCTACTCTTTGTTGTGGTGGGCAGGCTTCTCATTGTGGTGTCTTCTCTTGTTGCGGAGCACAGGCTCTATGCGCGTGGGCTTCAGTAGTTGTGGCATGTGGGCTCAGTAGTTGTGGCTCATGGGCTCTAGAGTGCAGGCTCAGTAGTTGTGGCACACGGGCTTAGTTGCTCCGCAGCCTGTGGGATCTTCCTGGACCAGGGCTCAAACCCATGTCCCCTGCATTGGCAGGCGGCTTCTTAACCACTGCGCCACCAGGGAAGTCCCTCTTGACGGTTTTTAAAATGTAAGTCCTAATATAGTGGTTCAGAAGAATCATGAAATATGTTTGCCTTAAAGAAAATTTCTTGTAATTTATTTTCTTTCTAAGATGAATTAATTGATTATTTTAATTTTTATTTCTTGGCCGCATTGTGCAGCTCGCAGGATCTTAGTTCCCTGACCAGATGTTGAACCCAGGCCCCTGGTAGTGAAAGTGCTGAGTCCTAACCACTGGACCATCAGGGAACTCCCAATTTCTTGCAGTTTAAATAAACGTTTCACTTTGGAATAATATCAGATTTATAGAAAAGTTGCAAAGATAGTACAGAGAGTTCCCACATACCCTTCTCCCAGTTTCTCTTAATGTTAGCATCCCACATAACAGTACCGCATTTGTCAAAATAGGATTAGCATTAGTACATAACTATTAATTAAACTTCGACTTTATTCCAGTTTCCCCACACATGTCCCTTTTCTGTTCCAGGAATCAACCCAGGGTACCGTATTGCAATTAGAATGTATGCAGTAGATATGACTTATCACGGCTGAGATGCTTAGTGTAGCTCAGCCAGTGGGTGGGATCTCCATGCCCACTCAGGATTGGTAGGGCCTTTTCCTGGAGGTTGCATGGCATCCCTGACTGCACAGAGTGCTACAGTATTAATTTTCAGTGTCTCCTAGCAGATTTTACTGCTTTTCACCAACCTCTGATCCTTGTGTATTTGCAATCAACTCAGGGTTTGTGATTGAAAACATTGCTGGACTCCATGCCATTTGAGCTATTTTCTACTAGGTAACTCTAACAGAAATTATGCCTTTGTTTAGTCCTGTTTCTCACACACATTGAGTGACTCTCATCAACCAAAGCACTTGAAGTCATTAGGTTTCCCGAGTTCCTAGTTGCTGCTCAAATGCCTTGTGGTTCCAGGCTGTTGCATATTTCCACCTTCCACACACGAGATTGTCCCTTGATGAAAGCAGCATTAGCCTTTCTGCTATTTCACCCCAATTCTTCTTTTTCTTGTTGTAACCAATGAAAGGAAGTAGCGCTTAACACAACAGGTAATAGTCTTCTAAAACTCATTATCTCAAGAGGGGGTCCTGGCAGGATATATAAATGCAGTTTAAGAAGGGTTTGGGCAAGTTCATGAGTGACAGAATTGGGAGTGGCTACTGGGAGAAACTAGGACATGCCTTGGCTTTGACCCCTGAGGTCAGATGGAGCATCTGCACCTTCTTGGGTCCGGCCCCTTGGAGTTGCTGTGGGCAACACCACCTGAATCAGGA